CCTCCCCAGATGCAGCACCCTACACTTGCCCTTGTTGAATTTCATCAGGTTTCTCTCTGCCCAACTCTCCAGCCTGTCCAGGTCTCGCTGTAAGGCAGCACAGCCTTCTGGCGTGTCAGCCACTCCTCCCAGTTTTGTGTCATCAGAAAAATAGTGCCAGTTTGACACTTCTTCCTACTAAAAGTTTGCATTAAAGGAGCATTAAGGGGTGGTCAGTGCTACAGACTTCTCTTCATTTGTACAAACACACTTTATTTTGCATTTTCCCTCTACTTCCCTCTGAAAGAGGGCTGGAAAAAACTCCCAGTGCCACGAAAAGCAGGTTGAGCCCCGCTCATAGAATCACAGAATCTCCTCGATTGGGAAAGACCTGTAAGATCATCTAGTTCCACCCTTAACACGGCCAAGCCCACCACTAACCCATGTCCCTGAGCACTGTATCTCCATGACCCTTAAATCCCCCCAGGGATGGGGACTCCACCACTGCCCTGGGTAACACGTTCCAATGCCCAATGACCCTTTCAGTAAAGAAATTCTTCCAAATATCCAATGTAAACTTTCCCTGGCGCAACTTGAGGCCATTTCCTCTTGTTCTATCACCAGTCACTTGACAGAACAGGTTGACTGCACCCTCCTTTCGGGGAGCTGTAGGGAGCGAGAAGGTCTCCCCTCAGCTTCCTCTTCTCCAGGCTGAACACCCCCAGTTCCCTCAGCCCCTCCTCACCAGACGTGTGCTCCGGACCCCTCACCAGCTCCGTTGCTCCCCTCTGAGGAGCGAGCATTAACTAACTGAGATAAAAAGCACAATTTTCTAGCGAAACACCCAAGTCTGATGTGAAGGACTATGACTTAATTAAGAGAACCAAGCAAAAAGCTGACGAGCGGCAGCCGTTTCACTCAAAGCAGAGGAAGTTAGCTCAAATATTGCCAGCTCGGGGGGGGAAAGTAGCATTTCTGTTGTAACACGAGGCTTTTTGAACTGTTTTTGCGTGCAGGCATCATGGTGAGTAAGGAGCCCGGCAAATGCTTACTCACCACCTCGGAAAGTGAAGTTGAGCCGGCGGCTTCTCTCGCTTTGGAGATGAAATACGCCCTGGATCCCAAAAGGCAGATTAAGAAACGGAACAAAGCCCTCCAGGTGAGATTTAAAGATATCTGCGAGGCCCAGAACGAGCAGAGGGACAAGCAGCTCTCCACCACGCCGGATCCCGACAAGAGGGACGCCAAGCCCATCTCCTACAAAACGGCTTATCGCAAGTACATGACGGTGCCCGCCCGCAGGTCCATACCCAACGTCACCAAGAGCACAGGAGTTCAGACGTCGCCCGATCTTAAAAAGTGTTACCAGACCTTTCCTCTGGACCGAAAAAAAGGGAATATTCTTAAAAGCGCCTCGACTGTTGACACCTTTAAGAGTGAAAACAACGGGTTTCTAATAGACGTGAAGGACAAAGACGGCAGGAGCTCAGGGGAGGCCGTGCAGTGGGGCAAGAAGGCCGGCAGCCTGCAGACAGCCGAGTTCATCTCCCACATCCACGAGCGCGGCAACGCGGGGTCTGGCGACAACGGGGCCGAGGCCTGGGCCGGCAGCCATTTGCACAGCTCTCCCAAAGAGCCGCTGCCGCCCCCTCCCTCACCCAAACCCGAGTGGGCCCCCCGGCCCCTCCACGGGAGGGTCTTCAAGACTGAAGTGGCCACCGTTTATTTACCGGCGGCCAGTTCAAACGCTTCGCAGTCCGACCTGTCCAACCTCACGGCCGAGACAGACTGGTCCCCGTGCCCAACAGCCGAGGAGGACAGAAAGAGGACCGTGCACCTGAACGGTGTTCAGCCCCGGGCGGGAGATGCCGGAGCCTGCTCGTCGCGGGCGCAGTGCCAAGCCACCGAATGTAACGACCAGAGCCTGCAGATCAAGGTTTCGCCCACGGAGGAGAGTCAGCCGTGCCGGGCGGCCGTGGCGGTGAGCGAGGAATGCCAACAAATCGTGCCTCACACCGAAGTTGTGGACTTGAAAGCGCAGCTTCAGATGATGGAAAATTTGATCAGCTCTAGTCAGGAAACCATAAAAGTGTTGTTGGGTGTTATACAGGAGCTAGAGAAAGGAGAAGCTCACAGAGAAGGGTGAGTAGAAGCTTTTTAAATGAGTATGAGTTGTTTAAAATGCCTTTTCTAACGAGCCCTGCCCTTGTTGTGCCCGAGACGTCCCAGCTGGCCGTGCTCACGCAGACCAGGGAGGTCTCCCAGGGAGACCCGCCAGCGGCATTCACAGATCCGGGATCTGCTTGTCCTAGGATGTAATTAAGTAGTCGTTTAACGAAGGACCTGTAATGTCTTTTCTCATACCTCTTCTACCCGGCACAGACCGAGCCACTCTCCAAACAGGATTAGCGAGGACGCTTTCACATCAGTAGCTTGTATTAACCATAATACCTCACGCGGCATGAAAAGCAGCAGAAAAACCTTAATTCTGTAAGAGACTTACCTTTTTAAGATTAAGGGATATTATTACAACTCTTAATGTAATTCCATTAATGGCACATGATCTTGTCTGGTTTACTTTCACCTTCTGAATTTTTAATGATACTTCTTTCAGAAGGAAATTAAATGAAAACTTTTAATATCTAAGTCTTCTTTACAGCACTCGCAGTACTCTACAAGCGGCAAACTTGAGCATAAAGAAACAAATTTTTGTTTATCCTTAACTTATGTTACTATAATCAACCTGTAAGGCATTACAAATATTCGTTACAAAACCACAGAACAGCCTTTAGTCTTTACCTACACGGTTCAACCCACTCTTACATTACCTTAACAAGCATTTTTCAGACTTACTTGCCCGAGTTCGCTAATCTTTATTCAATGAATGCACCTCAAAATGTCGGCGCGCTGTTTGTGTATTTCTAAATACTTCTGTAATTAAATCATAATTAGTCAGAAGAAATCTGGATTTTAAAATTACAAAGCAGTAGCTCTTGCTACTTGAAGAAGCACATGTTTTAATTTGAGTCAAAGGTACATCTTAAGATTTACAATTCAACTCTTTCTCTAGGAATGTAGAAAACATCTTGTTAATCCTAAAAATTCAAAATGTTTTTCATCAAAAAATCATCTTAGCTGTTGGACAATGCTGTCAACACAGCCTTATCATTTTTAGTTTATTTTACAGCTGGTTAGAGTATTTTTAGAATACCTTGTCAAATCCTGGATCTTCAGACTGGGAAGCTGCTTGATCTAGCAGAAAGCAACACAGGCTTACTGATTTTTATTTTTTTTTTAATTATTATTCAGAAAAAGTACTCCTCTGACTTTCTCAACTTACAGAAACTGCAAGAGCAATGGAAAGAAGTGGCATGCTGCTTGTCAGATCACAAAATACAGCAAAATATGTCTTCATCATAACTCATCACCCGAGCATCGAGAACCCCGTGTGTATGAACACACACATCTGCCCACAGTCATCTGCCATAAACACCAGTGCTCCCTCCATGCCCTCACATAGCGATTTTTTACTTTTTTCCCCAAAGACAGTAGAGCAAAAGGTGCAGCAAATAATCTTTTTTTTTTATTGCCCTCACATAAGCAGGCGCATTTAAGGTAGCCAACGTTAGGAGCGTATCACAGTCTCCCTGCCCTCAGCGCAGAAGAGGTCTTGCCCAAACTATCCATGCTCGCTCGGATCCTCAAATAATCCGTCTGAAGGTGTCAACCTGACAAAGCTGTAGCCTACATTAGGCCTAAAATAGTGGAACTATGCATAAACCTCAGTTCTTCACAGTATCTCTGCTGCCTCTTACACGCGGAGCCTTGCGGATTAGAGTCTCCCAGACTACATTACATTTGACCAAAAAGAGCCTATTTATCAGCACTCCTTTACTTTACCCCGTAGGTTCCCCAGCAATGGTGAAATCACCACCTAAAGATACATCACACATTTTGAAATCTTTTCAAACACGTCGTGGTATGTGCAAGGGACCACTAAAATGTTTTAATGATTCTTTGACGTTAACTGTAACCAGTGGCGGTTACACCAGTGGTTGAGGTTAATTATCACTGGAAGCAGAGTATCTCCAATCCAAGTGAGATTTCAGATAGGGGGGCTGTTTTAAACCCAACGATAGACAAAGCTGCTGCCTTAAAACTTAGCGAGAGCAGAAAGGGGTTTCTGCTTGGAGCTGCTTTCAGCTGCTCTTCCGTATGCTCCAGGCATGTCCCAAACGTGTCCCCTCCCAGCTAGGCATGAAGGGTGGCGAGATGGGAAGGAGGAAGGAAGGGGGGTGCATACTTGAGTATTTTCTCCTGGTTTAGGAATTCCTGTATTCCAGATCCCTCTAATTTCCTAGCGCCTGGGTGATTATAAAGGAGACTGCACAACGGAGTCCAGCATTATGCCTGGGACATTTCTGTTCTCCACTGATCACACTCCAGAGCTGAAAGAACACTCTGTTCTCGTGCAAACCACCAACGCATCATTATCACGAAGCCTGTCTTTATCCCTATTTCCCTCAAATTAGACAACTATTTCAATAATAGGTTGCCCCATCCTTTTATTAGAATAATTCTGCCTGATTATTGCATTCATTTCGACAAATTTTTGCCACACAGACCCACCACCGTGTACACAAACTATTACATATCAATTTTAGGACGTTGATCTCTTTTCCTTTTATAACCAGGTGTTAGGTCAGTTTATAACAAGAAATTAGAACCAGTAGTACTGCTACGTCTCTGCTTACTGTAGCATATACGAGTCTTACATCTGCTAAACCAGAAAACAGTGCTCTGTGTTTACGGCACTCTCCTAGTTTTCTCATGTATATTAAATTCCTTACAATAACATACATCAAGAAACAAATACAAATAACACACTGCTGGTAAAAAATAAACACACCACCAAACCCACAGCTAAATCTCTTAATCAGATTTTTCTCCCTTCAAGAAAATCGGTGTTCTTTAAGTGCTGTTGTAGTGCCATGGGACGAGTGCTCAGTGGATTCATTTTCACTAATATGCTGTAGGTCTTGAACTGCTATTACTGCAATTCATCACTAAATGAGTCTATGCCAGCAAAATTGTATCAGCATCTCTGAAGATAGCAGTATCATCCTTTGGGTGAATATCATCTCCGTATACTTTTCAAAATGTCAGTACTACGTTATCTGCAATTAGCAACAACATACAGCACTCGACTCTGCTGAAAGGGAAGGGAAAATCCACGGGGGGAGGAAGAGGAGCACAGGGCAGCTCTCACCCGCCCCGGGGCCGAGGGCTCACCTCGCTCTGCCGAATCCCAGATGCAGGAGGTGCAGCGTGACCCCTCTTTTCCTCCAACCTGGGGTCAGGCCCCATGTACTGGGCACAGAACGCAAAGTTCAGGCCATTGGGAAACACAGCTCTTACCGTCAGGGGTGGGAATCGGTGCCGCTAGCCTTGACCCCCCAAGATCAAAGGAAATTATTAAAACGGTGTATTTCTTCTGTCCATCATTATTTACTAAATATTTGGCAAATTATATCTTACTATGTGGAAGCTTCTGCCAAAAAATTAAAAAGAAAAAAAAAAATACATCGCAGCAAAAGGCATTCCACGACATCTGTGTGAAGTCATGCATGAATAAAAGTAACAGCTACAGCCTCAATTCACATTTCCGGCGCAAAGTTGGATAAATGTTGAATATTACATGACGCAAGGTGCAGCTTTACAACACAGAACAAGTTTTATGCCGCAAATGATGTTTGCTTTATCTTCTAGTAAACCATTAGCGATCTACATCAACTATAGACACATTGTCCATCTTCAGATGCAGTGCATTCAATTAAGCACGCCAAATTCTCCTCTGTTTACCGGTATGGAGCTTCAATAAGGACAACAGGATTGAAAGCAAAATGCAAGTCACTAATTCCAAAAGTCGGCTAACTACAGTACCGCCTAGGAAACATGTAACAGAAGAGGAACAGATAATCAAAATCATTTTGCAGCTGGAGAACACCGATGACCTGCCCTTTAAATCCTTCCCATGAAAAGTAACAGTAATCTAGGCCCTGCTCATTATACAACAAATCAGCAATTTTAGTAAACAAAGTACTCAATTTGCCAGACAAAAATAAGTCACAGTATTTTGACTCTGACAGGCCAAATGCTACACATTAGACACGAGTTAAATGAACCTGTTTCAGAGATAATTTATATTCATTTATTAGTTGACGGTGGTTCCGGAATTTAAAGAGCTCTCGACAAAACATTCATGAACTGAGCAGTGCCCGGCTCTTTCGAAGAGGCTTTGAAAGAACACGTTCTCATGGACGGAATGTCAATGTCATTTCACGTTTTCCGATGAATAAGGGATGTTTGTGTCTCTTATTATCATTTCTAAGCAGAACATAAACCAATACTGCGTGCGTCTGGATGGACATTTGAAGCAAAGAGGAGAGGAGCACTTCCCCTGGTGCAGAGAAAGCATCCTCGCCCAAACACTGCTGCCTAAAAAACGCTGCACGCAATCAGCCTCAAGGTCACAGGAGCTGAGCGTAGACTTATCATCCTGACTCAGGAATGATGGCAAATGAAAGTCACATAGCCAAAGCAATTATTGCCCAGATTGTTTGCTTTTCTCCTTTTCAGAAGCCACTTCAAGCCCAGTCCAGCAATTCCGCTCAGACGAAGGAGACGGAGCAAATAAAGGTAGTAACAACCTCTGCTGTCTAACTCAATCCATCTACGCACACGAGCCAATACTCTTAAAAACTGGGGAGTTCCTTATTTCACTCGAGAAAAGAAAGCTTAAAGAGCTTACAAGAATACAGCCTCGGAAAGCACAGCCTTTGGAAGTAACGGGCTGGCTGCAGAAATGATACGACACGGTTTCAGTTGGGATTTCACCCCCCTTTGGGTTTGTTTTGCTTTTTCAATTACAGGCATGGCACAGGGAAAGTTAAAGAAAATCATTTCTAAGAGAAAACCTGGAAATGGAGGGAAGCAATAGATAGATAAGCTTAACAGCAGAAAACACTTGCGCTACAAATAAATACATGAAAAACAGAAAGAATACAGCAAATTCCATCTGTGATGCACAAATTGTATCATACGCTGAGTGGCACCAGGTTTTAAGAGAGTATAACAGCAGT